ATTTTATTAAAATAAAACATAATAATAATATTATTATTATTACTATTATTGATGATCATGATAACATCAAATACAATATTTCTTAAAATAATATTACTGTTGTAATTTTTCACTGTAAAATAATTAATAATAATTCAAATAATTAAATATTTAAAGAACAAATATTGTAATATTTCACTGTAAAATAAAACATCCAGAAAATAAATAATTATATATTATTAAAGATTATATAATATCATATATATAATATTATTATTATTGATAATAGTAATAACAATAATAACAAATAGAAATATTAAAAACATATATATATTAATATTGTAATTTCATTGTAAAATAAAACCAAGTATTTAAGAAAATATAGTAATACAATTTTATATTAAAATATTGTTATTATTATTATTATGACAACACCAATATTTATGGTTGTTTTAGTTTCAATTATAATAATAGTTTGGGAAGATTTCCATATGCATAGATTAATCGTACAGCTCGAACATTAATCCTTCACAATAAGATCATGACCATGAATTAAGAGAGTACACACAGTCACAGAAGAGGAAACAGCAACACAAATTCGTGATTCTCCACGTGACCGTCAAAGACAGTGAACTTCCATCTGGTTTGCATTATCCCGCTGCTTCCCAGGAATATGGAAAAACAAGCAGCTTTGCAGCTCATTCGGCCAAATCAGGAAGTGATCTGGAGCAGTTTCCTGTTTCCTCGTCGCTCCCTCTTCCAGAAGCTCCTGACCCCTGAGAGCCCGACAGCATTTCCTTTAGACACGAGCTCCGTTGGGAAACTCCATATACGTATGAGAGCCTTCCATCGACACTTCGGCCTGATGTTAGTCTGCTTACCGTGACACTACTCTTCACAGAGAACACCTATAATTCACTAAGACACGTCAGGATTCACCACTTCAGCAAAGAGACTTTGTGACCCATGCTGGCAAAATGAGTCTAAAAAATCACATTTTCAAAAAATTTGCTCTTTTTATTTTAACATTCTTAATATCTTCAAAATGATATACGACTTGTTTGAATCATCAGACGACTTCATTTGTCTTTTTTTTTTTTAAATATCGTATCGTGGACTTCATATTGCGATGTTATCATGCTATCGTTACATCCCTACCAAGCAACGTTGCATATTTTCCTCCGATTCTATTCTTAATAATAATTAATATATTATTAATCACAATATAGATATTTTTTAATTTTATATTTGTTATTAAAAATAAGAACAAAGATGCAAATAAACAGTAGTTTAATTAAGAGCAGCGAGTGATTTCGTCTTTTCTTTTAATGTCTGATTAACATTGAGACAGATCTATATTAAGACCTAATGTAATGCATGGCTCTAATATAATGTTACACTTCAGATTTTTCCCCAACCATTAAAAACGTTCATGTAAGACCTAACAGATGTTATTAAAAATAAGAACAAAGATGCAAATAAACAGTAGTTTAATTAAGAGCAGCGAGTGATTTCGTCTTTTCTTTTAATGTCTGATTAACATTGAGACAGATCTATATTAAGACCTAATGTAATGCATGGCTCTAATATAATGTTACACTTCAGATTTTTCCCCAACCATTAAAAACGTTCATGTAAGACCTAACAGATTATGTTTGTGTGAATCTCACCAAGACATATTTCGCAATAATGATTGTTTTATAGGGTCTTTATAGGGAGATCGGACCCTCGGAGAGGCGCGTCTTATGCACGCGCTTTGCAAATGTCAGTCAACGCAATTATTTTGTTTTCATCAGCATGGGTTTGAAAATCATATTTCACTGGTTTGGACTCATGCCATTGAGAATTTGATATGAATATTCACAAAGCTGGAATTCTGCGCTTTGCAACAATAGACATACAACTTGAAGGGAGCAGAGAAAAAGGTACGCCTCTCAGAAAACATACCAATAAAGATCACTTTATTATTTGGAGCATTGGGATCGCTAGAAAAGGGCTTAATGAACTTATTTTTGTGAAAACCTCAAATTCGACCAAAACTGACATTATTCACTTCTTTTGCCTGTAGCTCAAAATTAGACTCATTTTGCCAGCACGGCTCACATTTAAACACGATCTGCCCTGCAGATAAATCTCTTTACTGTCTATGAACAGTGTGCATGTGACTTAAATAATAACTTGGAGCAATGCAAAACAGCTGCGATGTTCGGCTGGTCTGTTTCACTGCAAGTCAGTCATTCGGTCTGATTCCTAAAGAGTGAAACACTGACTCTTCCATTGAACATTGATCTGTTTGTTTGAGCAATATGTTAACTTCAGATTAAACCAATTTTATGAGTTTGGGGCGGGGCTATCTGACTGACTGACCAATGACAGATGGGTGTTTGGAAACTGTTTGGAGAATTACAAAACTCTCATCATCAACCACCAACTATCATCCAGATATTTATTTAACATGCTAAAACGAAACATCAGATGCTCTCGCAGAACGGATGCGCTTCTCCAACCAATACAACAGCATTAAAAGAAAGCAAAAAGTATTCATCCGTCAAGGACAACTTCATAATGCAACAGTTGACTAGCTGAGACGACTGTCTATGAACAGTGTGCATGTGACTTAAATAATAACTTGGAGCAATGCAAAACAGCTGCGATGTTCGGCTGGTCTGTTTCACTGCAAGTCAGTCATTCGGTCTGATTCCTAAAGAGTGAAACACTGACTCTTCCATTGAACATTGATCTGTTTGTTTGAGCAATATGTTAACTTCAGATTAAACCAATTTTATGAGTTTGGGGCGGGGCTATCTGACTGACTGACCAATGACAGATGGGTGTTTGGAAACTGTTTGGAGAATTACAAAACTCTCATCATCAACCACCAACTATCATCCAGATATTTATTTAACATGCTAAAACGAAACATCAGATGCTCTCGCAGAACGGATGCGCTTCTCCAACCAATACAACTACAACAGCATTAAAAGAAAGCAAAAAGTATTCATCCGTCAAGGACAACTTCATAATGCAACAGTTGACTAGCTGAGACATTACTGTACATCTGCCCAATGGACACCAGACTTTCTGCAAAGCAGTGTGTGACGGCCGATAGCATCTACCACAGATGAGATTTCTCTCGAAGATCTCGCTGGTTTCCTCTGCTGTTTGAAGGTGCGTGACGTCACGTGGAGCACCGAACCGAAGCAGGACTGCGGCTACTTCTCCAAAACGTGCAATTCTGTCAAACGCTGGTGAAGCAATCGGGCTAAAAATACCAAACTGCGCAGCACAGGGATGTGAAGATGTTAGGAAACAACACTCTCAATCACGAATCACGCACAAATGGATTTGTTCCCATGTCTATATATCAATCTAATACCATCACTGTTGCCTATAAGTGTTGATTTAAGTATAATAACAATAATAACAAACACATTTTATTCATCTAAAGTAGAGAATAACTCAATTGCCCATTAAAGTACCATGCAAAGCCATCACTATACCATGGTATTGCCACAGTGGAGTTCTTTGTGTGTTAATAATAATAACAGTGTTATAAAGCGCTCATAATCATAACAAACACATTTCTTCATCTAAAGTGGAGAGTAACTTGATTGTTGCACTTCAAAATATAAAAGCCTGAGGAATTCCTGCCAAAATACTATATTACTAACATAAGGTTTATAATTGAAAATGGTCTCGTTTTGTTATTTTGTTTAATTTTCTTACTTTAATAACAGCAGCCGTTAGTAACAAATTACCAGGTATCACAAAAAAATAGCATATATTTTAAATTATTTTTATATTTTCCATTTGGCAATTTTGTTGTGTATTTTTATAATTTTTATTAGTCATTGTTTTTTTAAATATGTCTATTTATACATTTTTATATTAGTTGTTGTTTTAGTTATTTTAGTACAAAAACGTTTTTTTCAATGTACAACCCAAACTGAGTGATTTTTAAATGCAAAGCAGTTACACGACCTCCTATAAATGTGTTCAGCTGCACTGTGGTACATATGGAAATATGGAAGAGACTGATGCTCAGAGCCAAACACGTTCCCGGGTGTCGCACGGAGCACGTTTACTGTGCCATACAGAGATTAGATTAGACTTGCAGGACTGTGTGTGTGTGTGTGTGTGTGTGTGAGTGTGTGTGTGTGTGTGTGTGTGTGAGTGTGTGTTCTGCTTTAATCTGAGGCAAATAATGACGGCAGGACGGCAGCAAACACACATTCACCTCATGCATGACACCGGCGAAGAACCACACAAACACAAACGCATAATTTCACACGTCAAGCACACTCAAACAGAGACAAACACAAAGAGCATCTTCCCAGTGTTTATCATGTTTACATCAGTCAAGCCACACCGAGAACACACAACACACAGCCCGTCCAGGAAGAAACCCGCAAGCCTGTCTGTTCGAGTCGGGAGGAATGATTTCATCATAAGCATCTTGTTC